TCTCAATTCGCCTTCTCCTGCGCACTTGCACAGAAAAAGGCCCCCTTGCGACACCGCACAAACCCGTTTGTTCGTTGTCCTTCGCCGTTCGTCTTTCGCCCCGTCGCCTTCGCCCGCCGTTGTCTTCGCCGCGTTCGCCTTGCCGCCCCTTACTGCTTTAGTCTCCTGTCGCTCGCTGAGCTGCTCGTGTTCTTCAGTGGTAACACCGTTTGTTGCTTTCGCTCCTACTAGTTGTTCGTCTATCGCGTCTCTTCTTTCAACTTCCTTGTTGTTGTCCGATACCTTCTACTTCTTGTGGTTGGTTGAGGGACCGTAAGAACTTCCATTCAAGGGGTTTACAACTTGCGTCGTTCTAAGTTAGAGGACTGCAGTTGCGTTGCGCCGTGTATTAAGGTACACTTAGCGTTTCGTGACTTACGTTGGAAACTCTCGTTGCTCTGCGTGGCGAAGCCCCTGAGTTATCGTTTGCCCTTCTTACCGCAGCCAGTCATCCGCGTAGACGACCCTAGTTTGTGAGTTGTCAGACCTAATGGTGAAGCCACGCCCAACGCCTCGACGCTCTGAGTTCCCCCGTCAACTACCGGCGGACTCTTTGCTCGCGGCAAGCGAATCTGAGCTTGCTCTTCGTAACCTTGACGCTTTGCGTCTTAACGCGCTCAAACTTGCTCCAACGCCTACCAATGCGGCGGAGATGCATCGCATGTGGATTCCTTGCCCTCATGCGATCAAGCGTAAGCACCTCGCTGAGGTGCTCGATGAGCTTGCGAAGGACGACCAACCCCAGTTGTGGAAGGACGCTCGTCAGGCTCGTCTTTTGCAAGACTTCAAGCTGATCCCTAATGCGGGGATCCGTTTCACGTGCACGGCTTACGACACTGCCTCTAAGCTCAGCTTGGTTAAGCTTAATGCTTTTGGCTCGCAAATCCAAGTCGCTCGGTTTTCGAAGTACGGTTCTCGTTACTTTGTTGACTTGGTCCGTCTTCCCGATGAAGTTTCGGACCGCATGATTTTTGATTGGTTTGCGGAACGTGGTGCACCTCCTACGTGCGTGCTACCAACGTTCGTACGTAACGGCCTTCCCTCGCGGGAAAGGACTGTTTATTTCGGCCACGATCAGGCGCCATCTGTTTTGGTCCCATCTCAAGATGCTCCTCTTCGAGAGATTGAATTTGAGTCGCCGGATGACGGCATGGTGAAACTTCGTGCTTGTTTCGTGAACCACAAGGTGGCTCGTTACAATAGGGTCACGCCTCCGTCGATTCGTCTTCGTCAGGAAGAAGAAGCCGCACGTCACGCGGCTGAATCTACGGGGTCTCCGGCTTCTGATACGGCTGCACTATCCAGTGCGCCTATCCAATCTGATCCTCAAGGATTTGCATCGTCTCTCAAAGAATCCATTGGTCGAATGGCCCGTGAATCTTCGTTGGACATTCCACTTGATTCTTTACTTGATTCTTCCGCCTATCCCGTTGCGCCATCGGACACTGCCGTCTCTCCTACTCCGGATGTCGCCATGTCTGACGACGGGGTTGCGTCATCCGTTGATGATGACGTTGATGATACCGCTTCATCTTCATCGGACTTCGACTTGGAGGCGTTTTTGGGGGAAGAAATTAACACCCCTAAACTTCGGCCTAGTGCCCCTCTCTGGGCCAAGGCTGCTTCCAACCGTTCTGCACTCTATGGTCGATCGGGCGCTGAACTGGTTGAAGCCAAGTCGGTCAGCTACGACTTTAATATCCCAGACGGCACCGCACGTCCTACTGATCTTCTCAAGTCGAATTACTATAGTTCACTATGGTTTGAAGATTTGGACCCGGATGTGCCTCAATGGCAGTACGACCTTGAAGTTCGTCGTGAGGGGGGCGACGATACTTGCTTGGAGTCCGTACCGGTTACTGCTGCTACCCCAGCCTATGTCGCCATGGTAACCCCGGTTACTATGACTTACGATGTGGAGCGGATGACCCGTCGCCAGCTTTTCCAACGCGTAGACACGTTTCTTCAGACATTGAGCTCTCGCCCTCCGCTGGATCAACTCGCCGCTTTTGAAGCTAATCCTGGGATTATGCTTCCGGCTATGGCGTCCAAGGACCGCTTGGATACTCTCGCCCATTACCGGAGTATATGTCGTCTTTTGGCCCACGCTCGACCCGGCACTGGCGAGGCTCAAATGAAGTGTCGCAAGGTGCTTCAAGCTTCTGGAAAGGCTAAGACCATGCTCAAAACCATTTTGGGTAATGTGGAGCCGATCTCGACTCAAGATAAGAAGGCACTATTTGTGCTTTCTAGTTGGGATTTGGTGCTTCACATCATGGCGCCTACGGTCTATCATGACCCTCACAAGCTCTACATCCTTACGGATGCAATCCCCGATTTTCTCGTCAATTTGACCATCCCACTGCTGTCGGATAACACGCTTTGGCTGTTGGGTTTTAGCTCTTTTGCGAAAGACCTTCTTCAGTACGAGACTGTGCCCGATTTTCTGAAGTCTTTGGTTCAGGCTGTCCAAGCCTTGAAACCTGATGCGGATGGAGCCTTTACGCCTCGCCTTCATTTCTAGGCAAGAGGCATGGGCCTTCAAGGCGGTTTCACTCAATGTGAATGGTTTAAACAAACCCCGCCTTCAATTCTACCAAGATCTGCTTTCACGCTACCAAGTTGTTGCACTTCAAGAGACCAAGCTTTCAAGTCAACTTGTACTTCACGATAACGACTACTTTCTTCATGCCGCGGATGCCCACGCCTGTTCGTTTTGGTCGAATACTACTTCGACCGACTTTGGACCCCGCAATGGTGTTGCCCTACTTTTCAATGGTGCCCACCCTTTTCAAGATCTTCGCGACGAGACTTCGCTTTTGGCTAATGTCGAAGTCTTAAGCAATCGGTATTTGGTTGTCTCTGCCACTTTGGGTACTCAACGGGTCTACGTTCACGTGGTTTATGGGCCTGTCCGCGCAGCGGATCGGGCTTCCTTCTTTTCGGCTCTTCCGCGTTGCTTCGACGACTCTTCCGCTCATTTGGTTATGGGGGATCTCAACATGACTATGGACCCATTTCTGGATCAAGCCTCGCCAGGCTCTTCCTTTCACGACGCTGGCCGTTCGGAGCTTTTCGATTGGATGATTAGCCTTGGATTGATTGACTTCTGGCGGCTCGAGAACCCGGATACGCTCGAGTTTACGGGGCCTAAGTCCAAGAACCGCATCGACTACTGTCTCGCCAGCATCGACTTTTATGACCAGTTCATACGGTCTTCTAGTCATTTGCTGGGGACCAAGTTTGGGGGGGCAGATCATGTACCAGTGGAATTTTCAGCGTCGTCCCACCGGCCTCCACCACATGACTCTCTGCCTTTCAAGTGTCCACCTTGGCTTCTCAAGTGTGCACATGTTCAGGATCATCTTCACCGTGGCCTTCTGCGCTTGGCCACGGTTCTCGACCCAAGCAGGAATCCCGGTTGTCTCTTGGACGAACACAAACGGCGCGATCGTATTTTTCTTTGTCAAGAATATTTACGGCGGAAGAATGCCACCGCTTGTCAGCTTCGGCAACTTCTTACGGCATCCCGCAATTGCGAGCAGCTCTTTGCGATGGATCCGAGTGATTATAATCGTCTTCAGCACGATCGGTCTCGTCAAGACTATATGGACTTTTCAACGGCTCTTCGCGAACGCAACGCCGCTTCCAAGTTCGATTTGGATGTCAGTTCTAGCGAACGATCGTCTAAACATTTCTTTCGGGCTCCCGCTGCGGCGGAACTCAGGCTGTCGATCTCGTCTGTCGACACGTCTTCAGGGTCGTCCAGGGATCCGTCTACAATTCTTTCGACTCATCGTCGATATTGGGGAACCGTTTTCCAATCGGATTCACACGATTTGGAGGTCGAGCCTCAGCTTTTCGACTCTTCAAAACTTCAAGATATTCTTCGTCATAGTCTTCGGAAGCTCAAGTCGTCTCAAGCCTCTATGCTCGACGCGCCCATTACGGCGAATGATTTTTTCTTTGCTATCAAGCACACTGCTCGTGGTAAATCGCCGGGTCCGGACGGACTTCCTGCGGAATACTATCAGCTCTTTCCTCATTTGTGGGCTCAAGTTATGGAGCTTGTCTATGCTGCCCAATTCCGAATGGGTCGTATGTCCAAGTTTCAGCGTCGCGCCTACATCTCATTACTCTTCAAGAAGGGATCGAGATCGGACCCCAAGAACTATCGGCCATTGACTCTGCTGAATCAAGATGCCAAGTTTGGTCCAAAAGCTTTGGCTTATCGCCTAAACCACGTTCTTCCCAGTTTACTGGATGTTGATCAATTTGGCTTCGTGCCTGGCCGTGACATCCGGCACGCTCTCCGCTACTTTCAAGACCTTCAAGATCACTGCCGCCGTACTAACTCGCAGGATCCGGCTGGGGCTATTTGTCTCGACTTTGCTAAAGCTTTTGACAGTGTCAATTGGCAAGCCTTAGACCAAGTCCTTCAACATTGGGGCTTTGGGTGTATTTTTCGTCATTGGGTCAAGACTTTCTTCCGCGGAACTCTTGTACAAGTTCTAATTAATTCTTCTCGCTCGGACTTCTTCAGCTTGGGGGCCGGCGTTCGTCAAGGGGATCCACTATCGCCCGGTTTATTTGTGCTCTTTATTGAGCCTCTGCTGTGCTACCTGCGGGCAACGACAACGTGTTCTGCCATCAAGATCCGAAATACCTCTCATCAGCTTGTCAGTTTTGCTGATGATGTAACGGGTTTGGTCAACAACCTTTCTCATGCTCCTCAGTTTCTGGATCGTGTTCAAGACTTTTGCGCTGCCACTGGCATGCGGCTTAACGTCGACAAAACGGTCATCTTTCCGTTTCGTTCATGGGCTTCCTCGGATATTATCCTTAAAAGTCGGCTTCGGGCTTTAGGCGTTCGTATTCTGGAGAACACTGAGCACACAACGCTTTTGGGGATCGCTGTTGGGCCGGCCGTCACACCTCAACTGCAACTTTCTCAGCTTCTTCTGCGGGTTCAAAAACTCTGTGTTTCTTGGCGATGGCGTGCTCGTACCCTGCGGGGTCGAGTACTTATTCTCAAGACTATGGTTCTCTCGACACTTTGGCACTTTTTGGGAACGGTGGCTGTGTCAAAACAAGATCTGCTCAAGTTCAATCCGCTTATGCGGAACTTCATCAACTGCACTCCGTCTGGTGCGGTGCACGACCCGGCTACACGGGGTCAATTTCCAAGCGTCTGGCATCCTGTCGATTCTTTGTCGGGAGGTCTTGACCTGCCTTCCGTTGCTACTTCAGTGGAACTTCTTCAAGTTAACCTTCTTCGCCAACTAATTCGTCGATGCCGTCAAGACTTTTCTTCTCCACCCAAGTGGTTCATCCCTGCTCAAGCTGCGATCGATTCGGCTTTCTGTGGTCAAGGTTCGGGTTTAGATTTTCTTTACATCCACCTTTCCCAGTTGGCGCAAACTTCTCGCTGGCAAGATGTTCCCGCGTATTGGCGGGATGCTATTGCTACATGGGGTACCAAGATCATTATCAAGCTTCAATGCGCGAACCCCGTTTTGACCAAGCTTACATGGCCGCTATGGAATAATGTGTTCCTTCGATTTACTGATGCCAAGCGTACACTTGCGGTGCTCCATCGGAAGGCATGCAGCTTTCTCAGCCATCAAGGTGTTACGCGGGTTTCAACTTTTCGCTCTATTTTTGGTTGGCTTCCAGACGAGACGACGCTTCGCACTTCATTGTGTTCTTCGTCGATCAAATCGGGTCGCTCTTTGACTTCGGTGGTGAATAAGCTGGCGCCTCGACTTGCGTTGCCGGCTCATTATCAAGACTTTGCGATTTTTCCTCTTCCGCCTGAGGGGTTGATCGGCGCACTCCATGTTTGGACGTTTGACGGTATTGACATTGTCAATGTGTCTAACCGGGTTATCAAGCGCCTACTGCTTAACCACGATCCGCCGCCCCTGCCTCTTCTTCAACTTTCCGTCCCTGAAGTGGTTGTTGATTCGTCACATTGGGCGCTTGAACGGGTGCTTCAACGCGATGTTCTGCCAGTCTTTTCGGATTTCGTCTTTCGGCTCCAGCATAATGGACTTGGTTTTCGCTACAAGTACAAGTGGCACACGAGCGAGGTCACTTGCGTTCACGGTTGCGCGACTTCGGAAACTCCACACCATTTACTATGGGATTGCTACATGGCCAAGCGGCTATGGCATCTTTTTCTTCCTATGTTCTCTCGACTTTTTCAGTCGACTATTGGATGGCCCCAAGTTCTCTTCCTTCACCACTTGGATGTTCCGGCTCATCAAACTCCGATTTTTGGCTCGCTCCTTCCAGTTCGACTCTTCAATGTGGTTCGCTGTGTTCTTTTAAGGACACTTTGGCTTAACCGCAACAAGGCGCTTTTCGACCCCCCTGCTTTACCGTTTATGGGTGTCTTCCGTCAATGTTTGACTCTGGTGCGTCTTCATCTTCAGCTTTTGTTCAAGACAATGACCCACCCGCGCAAGAAGGACTTCATTTTGCACAAGTCCCACCTTATGGCTTTCAGCGATGAATGGTATCGCGACTTTGCCGAAGATCCGTTCTATCTTCTTGCGGGTTAACTTCACGATTACTCGTTGCGAAAGCAATTGGCTTTTTCTTGGTAGCATTCTATGCTTTGCGAAAGCTTTTGGCTTTGTTTTGGCAGCATTCTATGCTTTGCGAAAGCCTTTGCTTTATTCGCGGTCTTTTCGACTGTTTCTTTTTCGGATTTGGAGCTCTTGGTTTAAAAGCCGACCCGCCACGTCAAGGCGGCTCCAATTTGGGTCGGGACTGGGGCATAAGCCGCTCTTGGGGTAATACCTCAGCTAAAGTTCTAGTATTCCCTTCCAAAAGCTGCCTAATTCCCGAAGTTTTCACGCACATACTGCTTGGTCAAGTATGTACGCGTCCACCCGCACTTAGATTTTCGGCTCACTTAATGGTGAAATGACGTTTCCAAGCATCATTCCACTCATCAAGGTCACCAAAGCTCTCCATGCTCTACAATGCCGAAGCAAAGCGTTCCACCCCCTTACAGGGTGGCCACAAGTGAAGTTCTTGTCATCAAGTAGTTCACGTCAGTTGTTTGACACCAACCTTCGCGATCAATACCCGACTGGTTTTTTACTTTCGTCTTCAACAATTTCCTCGACCCATCCACGATCTTGTCATCGACCGTGTCAAGGCTCCGTACGTTGCGAAAACTCGAGCGTTACCCGCCATTTGACTTGAACAAGTTCAAGATACAAGTTGGTCTTCTTCTAATTTGATGGCCGTCGTCATTCCTACTCCAATTTCAACGACCATTGCTCGCCTGATCAAGCTGATGCCCTAAATCCGTTTTTCGTCTGGCACACTCAACCCGACGTCGAAACCACGCATCGACTTTCGCCGATGCAACATGCATCACCATGTAGTTGGTGGTTTCTTTTTTGACCTCTTCGCCCGTCAATCCTCATTCCGAATCGGTCTTTTGGAGCTCTTGGTTTTAAAGCCGACCCGCCACGACAAGGCGGCTCCAATTTGGGTCGGGATTAC